CATACATACAGGCATACATACGTACATGTAATGCTTACAGTACATGCTTTGTACATACAGTCATACAGACGTAGAAGTAGGCATATGGGCCCATAGGAGTGTGTCGCCGGTAATGGTCACGTTGATGGCTTATTGGACCCAAAATAGGCAACATAGCAACCAGGCAAGTGGCAAACCCGTACACCAGCAGACACCGCGCTCCGGAACCTTCATACGCTCCCTCCACTGCCCCTGCACCAGGCGAAACGCTACCTGAACAGGTCCGCTGTTGCATGCGGATCCTTCAGGAGTCGAGGGAATGATGTCGACCAACATGGCTCAGGATGTCAGAAGTTTCAGGTCCTAAGAAGCCCCACGGCCCAAAAAAAGCCCCCAAAATGGCCCTTGTCCACCTTTTTGGGGTCTGGGCCGGAAGGGCTAAGCATGGATCCTGCCGGGATCTTCTCAACTCTCAGCTACGAGACTTGGGACCTGGTGTTGTTGGGGTGGCGCTTGAGGACTTGTCCTCTCCGATGCAGCCGGCCCCAAGCCCAAAGTATGCTTCATCCGGAGCCCGAGCGTCTGACCTTGTGACGCTGAATCCTGAATCCTAAGCCCTACGTTCTTCAATTTACTTGTGCTACGGCGTTGAAATGCATTGCTCTAACTGTTCTTATCTTTCCTCCAGTTGTTTGTTGTTATCGGGAAAAAACCTCATGATGCCCCGAAGCCCAGAGACGCTGAGTTCTGAAGCCCTCAACACCAAACCCGAAAACCCTAAACCCTAAACCCTAAACCCTAAACCCTAAACCCTAAACTCTAAACCCTAAACCCCAACCCTAAGCCTTTCTTCGAAGAGGGGGCACCATTTTGCCGGCAGGAGTTCCGGGACTGCAGCAACGAAACAGACGGGGTCCAGCTGCTTCGGATAAAGCGGCCCGGCAGTCTGTAAAGGAGGAAACCAACCCAGAGAACCCACTACCCCTTAGTTAAGGAATATACCTTGAACCATATGATTCAGGCCCCTATGATTGAAGGTATATTCCTTAATTAAGGTGTATTGGGATCTCTGCGAACCTAAGAAATCATAAGAACCCACGGTTAGCTCGTTGCGAAGAAGGAACAGCTGCTGTGATGGTACAGTTTTATTAATTCTTTGCATTGTGGAAGTCCGTCTTCAGGCACATTTCCTGATGCACAAAAGCTCGTTGAGAAGACTTTTGCATGCGTGCACGCGCACCTGCATGTTCGCGAAGCGAAGCGTAGCCGATAGGCTGCAAGGCAAGCGGTGGTCATCCGGGTGACCGTGTTTTCGCGAAGAGATCCGAAACCCGAAACCCCGCCCTGGGAACCCCAAATTCCTGCAACCATGCTGAACCCCAGAATCCAGAAGCCGGGGAAACCTAAGCCCTTAAAAAAATGGACCCCAAAAGCCCTCATAAGCCCTAACCCTAAACCCTAAACCCTAAACCCTAAACCCTAAACCCTAAACCCTGAACCCTAAATGCTTGTGATCGCTCGTGGCCCAGATCTGGCTTCGCCTCGGGTGCGAAGGGCGACGGCGGCTACGCCGACGTGCGGCTTGGCCGGGTTGGCCTGGGAGTCAGGGTTTAGGGTTTAGGGTTTAGGGTTTATTTCGGAGTCAGGATTTGAGAGAAAAGGGCTTAGGGCCTTTAGGGCTCAAGGCCTTTTAGGCCTTTAAAGTAGGGTTTAGGGTTTAGGGTTTAGGGTTCAGGATTTGAGAGAAAGGGGCTTAGGGCCTTTGGGGCTAGGCCTTGTAGGCCTTCAATGTAGGGTTTTTGGGGCTTTGAGGTCTTCGGATCTTACGTAGGGTGTAGGATTCGACAGTTGAGCTGAAAGGCTCGAGGACTGAAAGCGGTGTTTGTTTTTCAGACGGTTCTGGGGTAAAAAGGGCTGATGGCGTCTGTTTCCTTAGTTGCCTGCTTCAAGGCAGCATTGAGTGCTATTCGGGCTTGGAGCTTGTTGCGACCTCTGCGTATCCGAGTCGAATTCGTAGGGTCTTGGCTTTGGGACCTGAGACTCAAGGGCTTAAGCGGCTGAAGGTTCTCAGGCCGTTGGGATCTAAGCCGAACACTGACGCCTCTGCTCGGAGGGCGCCTTCCGCTTTCAACGCCGAAGCAGGAAATCCTGAGCCCTGGCGCTCCTGCTGAATCGAGGAAGATGCTGTGCTATGCGGATCTCGGCGTCCATGTGGCTTTCGACGGCACGGAGCCTTGGCTTCCTCATGCACGGGTTGTGTTTTGCAGCCGGGCAGCCGCCAGGCTTGTGGTGACTTGGAAGCCCAGCCAAGCCAAGGAGATACCGCTGCGGATCATAGGAGAGATCCAGCTGATCCTCGAGGGCTATGCTAACGTGAAGAATCGCTTCTTGGCGCATGGAAGTTCCTGCAGCTCAGGGGTCCTCAGCCCTCCGACCAAACCCCAGAATGTAGTGGGGTTGAGATCTTCAAGACGTCCAGTCATGAGTTGGCTTAGGCTTCCTTTTGGGTCTACTTTCTAAAACGGCTTGTGGCGTCCTCAGAATGTAGTTGTTGTGCACAGAAAGCCCGAAGCCCAAAGGAGTGAAGCCCTGAAGCTGGACCTTGGGTCTCTCGGGGGGGGAGGTTTAGGTTTTACGAGGTGCTGTCTGTATCTCTTACCGTCCCAGAGAGGTGCCTGTTCGGACATACTCTTGCCGTATACTGGTACCCTAACTCTGGGGTCCAGACTCGGGATTCGACGTGGATGATATGGACAGAAGACACAAGTAGAGACTTGCACAGACACAAGACACAACAAAGGTCACAATCCCGCGATGGTAAGCCCCCATGTATGCACCCAGAATCTGAAAGCCTGCGCCGTAAAGCCCGCATGTACATTGGGTAGCTGTCAAAATTATGGTCCCTTTTAGGGTACCCTAAATAATAGGTGCCGTATTATGAAAAGGACCCCAAAAGGGACCATAATTTTGACAACCACCCACATCCAAACTCAAATCCTCCCAGGCCCCACAGCCAGCTGCAAGCCCGAAAAAGACTACACGGGCTTCTGCATCCCAGCCCCAGAGCCATAAGACCCTGTCAAAAAAGTCTGCACGCTAAAAGTTTTTAAGCCCGTATGGAAATCGAAGCAGCAAACCCATAAACAGCAACACAAAAGACAAATAACTTGAGAAGCGAATGAAACAAACAAAGGCATGGACACAGTGCACACATTAAGCTGTGTTTCGTATATGTATTTGCATATGTATGTCACAATGCCAATGTCTATGTATATAAGATATATATATATATATACACACGTA